TTTTTGTCCACCTGGGTTATTTCTAAAAGACTATCTTCGGGATCAGAAATTCTTTTTCTGCTTTTTCTAGCCTGCTGCTTAAGCTATCTGTTGTATTTTTGTTTCATTGAGTGAATCTTTCAGTTCCATGACTTCTGTTATATCCTTTTTTAAGATATTAAACTCTTTATAAATTTCCTCCTTCATATCCTGGATTTTTTTTTTCTCATTTCATTATGTTGTCTAACTGAGTCTTCTCATATCTCAGTGAGTTTCCTTAAGATTGTTGCTCAGAATTCCTATTCAGTCATTTCAAGGGTTTCCTGCTCTAGAGGGTCTGGTGTTTGAGAATTACTGTATTCTTTTGGTGGTGGTATATTTTCTTGGGTTTCTGTATTTCTAGTATCTCTACATTGATGTCTGGTCATGTAGTAGAAGAGCAGTTGCTTCTTCTATTACTATGGAGTGGGCTTTGAGGAAAGAGATGTCCTCTTCTTTTTCTGGTCTGCACTAGTGACTCACCTTGTGTCAATGCAGTTGAGTGTCTGACAGGTCACCTACACAGTGGCTGTGGCTGCTGTTGTGGCATTGAGCCACTTTTGTGGCAACTGTGGCTGTGGCGGTGGCTGTGGTGGGCCACAGCACAGAACTGGTGTTTTTGGCATGCTCCTTGCCTGCTTCCAGTGTGGTCCTGCCTAGGACCTTGGGGGTGCTCTGTTTATGCCTGCTTTCAGGCAGAGGGGGCTGCCCTTGGCTCTTGTCTAGAACCCTGGATGTGCTCTGTTTCTTGCTAGCTTCTGGGTGGAGGGGGCTGCCCTCAGCTCCTGCCTAGTACCCAGGGCATGCTCTCCATGTTGTATCTCTTTAAATATAATTCTCTCAGCTGCATTACAGTACCCTTAAGCATCTTGGGAAAAGATGATGTCATAAGAAACATCTGTTATAAATGAAAGTCCAATCTCAGCCAGCTAAGCAGATAAGAGCCCATAGAAATGTCATAGCATTTCATTCTAACTGAATAGAATTATAGCATAGATTTATCTTTTAATTATTCCCAGTATCATGTTTTAGAGATGATAGAGATTAAAGCACAAATAGTGGTAAAAGAAACTCTATAAGTAGTTCTGGCAGTGTAACAGATTACCTCCTCTGCCAGCTATAACTGTGTACATAGTGGAAATGGCTGTGGCTTCTGGTGAAGGTCTTCACACTCAGAGTTGCAGCTAGTAATGGGAAAGATAAAGGCTGAAAAGTGGAAAATAGAGAGTACAAGTATATGCTGAATTTAAAAAAAGGAAGGTATAGGTAGGTATTTAAGATTCAGATATTCTATGTAAATGTAAATAAGAAGACAATAGAAGTGTAGGACTAGAAAAGAATTATTGGCAGAAAAATTTGGAAAACCACCATACTGGAATTTGTTTTTCTTTTAATTTAAACATAATTGATCATACGTATATGTGAAGTACAGAGTCAGTACTTGTGTACGGTATGTAATGACCAAATCAGGATAATTAGCATATTCATCATTACAAAACATAATCATTCTTTGTGTCCATTAACCAATTTCTCACTTACCCTGTATTATTGTGATTGCCCTTCCTTCCTTCCTTCCTTCCTTCCTTCCTTCCTTCCTTCCTTCCTTCCTTCCTTCCTCCTCCTTCCTCTGTCTCTCTTTTTTAGCTCACACTTATGGGTGAGGCTATGTGGTATGTCTCTTTCTGTGCCTGGCTTATTTCATGTAACATAATTTTCTCAAAGTTCATCCATATTGTAGCACAGGGCAGAATTTCATTCTTTTTTTATGGCTGAGTGGTATTCCATTGTGTATATACACCACATTTTTCTTTTACATTTGGAAATTGACTTAACCAGACACCTGAAGCCCCAATATTTAAAAGCATGTCATTGCATTTTGATATGCCAATGAAAAAATGTTCTCTATACCTGTGTTGTCTCTCTAATCTAAAATGAAAACAACTTAAAACCCTTCTGTCCAGAACACTGTTTTGAAATTAATTTTTTACTGCTTAAATGAAATGATTTTTTGATATAAAGTAGTAGCATTTGTTTTTAGTCATTTTGATAGTATATACTATTTGGTGTTTAATTTCAATAGAAATTATGTGGTATAAAAGGGAAGAGATTTCTGCAAATGTACTACTTATTTAATTCAAAAAGTTTCTTATATACAACTGTGGTAATAACTGGAGCATCTGTAAGGAGGTAGATTACTTGTCCTTAACCCCTAGGTTTCTGAAATAAGTTAAAGACACAAAGGTTTGCTTGTCCTAAATTGAGTATTAGTGCAGCAATTGAACAAGCATCACAATATGTTCATGCTTTTATTAGGATACTTGCAAGAAACATAAACCCACTTAAGGTAGAGTAATTTAAAAAGAAAATCTGGGGAATTGCCAGGAAGTAGAGAGATCTAGAAAAAAACACTGAATCATCCTAATATCCAGGCTTCTAGAAGGCAAGAACCAGGTAACTGGTTACTTTAGGGGACTTCATCTGCAGGAATGTGTGGCTGTTCATGCTAACTCTCTGCCTTTATTGTGAGTTATCCCATTTACATATGCTAGTTTCTTACTATCCTGCACCCAAGTAACTTGTTCTCCAGTGTTCCAGCAGAAGTATATAATTGGTTCTCTGTCCATTCTGTGGATTGGTTGTTCCTGTTGGGTTAGATGCAGGCTGCTGTGATCTGGAAGCTCTGATATGCTGGTCTGCCTTGCTAGGTAGGAACTGCGAGGATAAAAGGATAATCTAGGAGAGGAGGTCAAGCATAGTAGATGGCTGATTAATACTAAGGGTTTAATCAGTAAGCTTATAAGAGGAGCTGTGTTGTCTGCCGGAAGGTTTGTGGAAGAGATGGCATTTAAACAGGATTCTAGAGGTTGAGTTGGACTTACATACCAAGAGAAAATAGGTGAAGAAAGAGGGTATTCTAAAGAGTGAAACAATGGAAGCCAAGTTGTATAGGTTTATGCTTGGCGCTTAGGTAGATCAGTCTGGCTCAGTCACCTTCAGTGTAGCTTCCCAGAATCATCTGGGCAGCCTGCATCAATGCCTGGCCTCCAACCTACGCTGATTGAAACAGAATCTTTGGGGTTTGTAGTCAGTGCATTTTCAGTTTTTAAAAGTTCCTCACATGATTCTCATGCAGAGATGATTGAGAACCACTTGACAGCTGGAGACTACAATACATTATTGAGTTTGTGAAATACATTTGGGATAGGATGTTAGAACAGGATTTTAGAGGCTTTTCTATATCTGGCTTAGGACTTTCTCAACTGTATCCCATAAGTAAGGGGAGCCACTATGATTCACTATTTTATTGGTTTCTACTGTTTTCTGAGTCCAGTATAATTGCATCTATTTAGTGTCCCTCCAGCGCAGTGACAGAGGGGAGTAAGGAAAGTTATGAGATCTAGATATATGTCACACAGCTCTTGGTGCTTATTAAGAATGTTATTTACCCACATGAATATCCAGTTTTCCTGGCATCATTTATTGAAGAGGCTGTCCTTTCCCCAATGTATGTTCTTGGTAACTTTGTCAAAGATAAGTTGGCTGTAAGTATGTGGATTGATTTCTTGGTTCTCTATTCTGTTCCATTGGTCTGTGTGTCTGTTTTTGTAGCTAGTACCATGCTGTTTTGGTTACTGTAGCTTTGTAGTATAATTTGAAGTCAGATGGTATAATGCCTCCATTTTATTATTTTTGCCAGGATTGCTTTGGCTATTTGGGGTCTTTCATGGTTCCATATGAACATTATGGTTGTTTTTTCTATTTCTGCGAAAAATGTCATTGGTATTTTGATGGGAATTGCATTGAATCTGTAGATTATTTTGGGTAATGTGGACATTTTCATGATAATTCTTCCAACCTATGAACATGGAATGTCTTTCCATCTTTTTGTGTCCTCTTTAATTTCTTTTGGCAGTGTTTTATAGTTCTCGTTGTAGAGATCTTTCACTTCCTTGGTTAACTTTATTCCTAAGTATTTTTTTTTTTTTGGTGGCTATTGTAAATGGTCTTGCTTTCTTGTTTTTTTTTTCCTGCTAGTTTGTTGCTGGAGTATAAAAAAATGCAACTGATTTCAGTATATTGAGTTTGTACCCTGCAACTTTACTGAATTCGTTTATCAGCTCTAGGAGTTTTTTGGTAGAGTCTTTATGTTTTCCTATATATAGGATCATGTCATCTGCAAACAGGGACATTTTGAATTCATCTTTTCCAATTTGGATGCCCTTTATTTCTTTCTCTTGCCTGATTGTTCTGGCTAGCACTTCCAATACTATGTTAAATGGGAGTGGTAAGAGTGGGCATCCTTGTCTTGTTCATGATGGAGATCATCATACTGAAGAGAAGCCTGTACTCCCATGTTTATCACAGCTTTATTTACAATAGCCAAGACATGGAACTAACCTAAATGTCCATGGACAGATGACTGGATAAAGAAAATGTGGTATATAAACACAATGGAGTACTACTCAGCCATAAGAAAGAATGAAATTCTGCCATTCACAGCAACATGGATGAACTTGGATAAAATTATGTGAAATGAAATAAGCCAGGTACAAAAAGAGAAATACTGCATTCCTCACTCATAACTGGGACCTAAAAAATGAAGAGAGAGAGAGAAAGAGAAGAAAGAAATAACAAACAATAATACATTGAAATTTCAGTAGAGAACAGAACTGTGGATATTAGAGGGGGGAAAGGGTGAGAAAAAGGGAGGTAAGGGAGAAATTGTTTAATGTCCACAAAGAATGAGTACATTTTGTAATGATGAATATGCAAACTATCCTGATTTGATCATCACATATTGTATATAAATACTAATAGTCAACTCTGTACCCCACAAATATGTACAATCAGTTATGTTGCAATTAAAAAAAGAATGTTATTTATTCATTGCTTCTCCTATGTAGGAAGTGATGTTCTAATTCCAAATTTAGTTTTCTAAGCAGAATGTATGGAAATTTTTTAATGATTCCTTCTCTCTTTAGGGGAGTTGGTTGCATCTTTGTTGAAATGATCCAAGGAGTTGCTGCTTTTCCAGGAATGAAAGACATTCAGGATCAACTTGAACGAATATTTCTGGTAAGTTCTTCTGGAGTGCTTCTGAGAAACATTGGTTTCTAATTAGTCACTTAGTGACAAATTCTACAGTGGTCAATGGAAAATACTTTAAAACAAATATATCTGTTGTCACTTAGTTTTAACATATTTTTGGACCTTTGAAAAAGCAGGAAACTAGTTAGGGATTGTATTTTAAACTATTGTACATGAATACTATGCCAAAATGATAAGAAAGAGTAGGACTGAGAGGCAATATAGAGTAATGGGTTAAAAATAAGGACTCTGACAGAAGAATACCAAATAATTTATATAGATACCCACCCATCCCCTTCATGTGGGTGGAATTTAACTCCCTGTCCCCCACCCCCAACAGTGGGCTTTGATTGGTAACCTTCTTCCATAGAGTGGAGCATGGAGAGTGATGGACACAGGAGCGGGTGGTGACTTTACAATGGAGACACCAGGCCAACAATACCTGGCCAGGTCTCAAAGTTCAGCACCATGAGAGATAAGTCATGTGCTCTTGATATTATGTATTTAGAATGGCACTTCACTTCTGTGATCTTCCTCCCAAAACCATAATCTTAGTCTAATCATAAAAAACACATCACAAAGACCCAAATTTGGGGACATTCTACAAAATACCTGACTAGTCTTCCTTAGAACTGTCAAGATCATAAAAAACAAGGAAAGTCTGAGAAACTGTCACAACCCAGAGGAGACTAGGGAGGCCTGACAACTGAATGTAATTTGGCCTCCTGAATGTAATCCTGGAACAGAAAAGGCACATTAGGGAAAAACTAGGGAAACCCAAGTAAAGTGTGGTGTTTAACTCAATGTACAATATGAGTTCTTTAGTTGTGACAAATGTACCATGTAATGTAAGATTTTAGCAAAAGGGAAAAGTGGTGAAGGGTGGGGCCGGCCCGGTGGCGCACTGGATAGTGCGCTGCTTGGGAAGTGTGGCGGCGCTCCCGCCCGAGGGTTCGGATCCCACATACAGACTGGTTCCCGCTCACTGGCTGAGTGAGGCGCGGGAGCAACACCGAGGGTTGCGGTCCCGTTGCCGGTCCCGGTCCGGTGCGGGGGCGACACTGAGGGTTGCGA